TTCTCGTCATCAATGCCAAGATTATACGAAGTTGGAATACTGACTAAATTAGCCTGGAAAAAGCAAATAGTTCCTGGCACGCGCTGCGGCCCGTTGACGACCGCCCTAATCAACTGCCCGGATGACGAGGAATACGACAATGAGTAGCAGCGTACCTCTAACGCTGTCGTTTTAGGAGTAGGGGAGGGGGGAGCAGAATAGAACTGTATACGTTTTTCTAAGCTACCACCAAGAAAGGTCTAGGATTAGCGTGTGCGTCTCAAGAAATTCAAAAAAAGGGGACAGCGGCTTTGGGTGAGTCACGGATTCATCCTCCGATCTGCCTGCTCAGGGGCGCGGAATCCCGTCCTGCCAGGCGAACCCCCTCCTCGAATACCACCCCACTCCACGAACACACAAAAACCCAGCTGAGCTCGTGGTAGCGGTGGTGGTGTGTGTGGGAGGGGGTGAAGGAGGTAGAGGGAGAGAAGTTCAAGAGAAGGGAACAAATTACTGATCAACTATTAGAGTAAAAGTGCCGCGCCGCCGCCCAGGGGGACTACCGACAGACGGATAGCTAACCGAACCGAAACTCGAGAAAGTTCCTCGACGAGGCCGCATATGTTTCCTCCCAGCCCAGCGAAGAAATGCGACCCTTTCTGAAGTCCCCCCCTGACGATGCAGGACCCTGGCCCAGAGGGGAAGATTCAGTTAGAGAAGATCGCGCTCTAGCCGATGGAAAGTTGCCATGAGGTCTTCCAGTACAATGCTACCCGAGGGACTGGCTCTTGAGATACTCACAGCGTTCCACAAAGGAGCTTACGATCGCACTCGAACCATCTAGCCAAGTCAACCAGCTGTCCAGGGCCAGAGACGATCGATCAATAACTATAAAGTGCACAGCAAATCAGCTGCATCATGAACTTACGGAAAGATTCAATGGACTTTCATAGCCGCTGGTTGTGGAACCTCTGCAGCGAATCCAGTAGTATCCATTCCACCTGTTTCTGATGGCGGTGCTTCTGCTTTTCTTCCTTTCGCCCGAATTATCACCATCGTTAGTGAGCATGCCGGTCTCCGAGTGTTCCGCAGGAAGGGATGACTTTGCTGGCTTCTTTTCTTTCTTTTCTTCTGGAGGTTTCAGCGCCTGTGCCTTCTTTGCTTCTGGAGGTTGCGCCGTATGGACCTTTCTTTCCTCTGAAGGTTTCGCTTGTGCTTTCATGGCTTCAGCAAGTTTCGTTTGTACCTTCTTATTTTCTTGTTGCTCGTCTTCTGAATTGAATAAATATTTAATTGATCGCTCAGAAATGGAAAGAGGTCTATATATGAGAAACTCGAGCTGTGAAAAATATGTATATCGATTACTAATGAGTGTCTAAACAACAGAATGCCCAGTCTCCTAGCCCCACCATTCCGCAAAACTCTCCCAACCCACAGGATTCCCGGCGTGTTGATCGTTTAAGGGACAGGCAAAAACTCACCAACACACTGGGTGCGTGCTACTAAGCTTTTCTTCTTCTTTTTAACACGAATTCCAGAATCGTTACTGAAAACCTCATTTGACTTCCATTCATAACGTAGAGGCTCGTGAATGCCTCATGAGTCTGTAGTATGACAGTTTAGCACACTCTTTTTGCCCACAATTCAGAGTGTGTATTGATTTTACGCGCGTAATAGAAGTTCACTGAGTTGCATTTCTACAGTTAGTTAATTAGCAGGAAGTGTGAAGTCCTTTTCAGAAAGTCTGACTGGACTGATTTTTAGCCCAGTGTGATCATTTCAGCAAGTCAACCTAGTGACAAGTAACTGGCCCTGGAGCAAAGATTTTGCAGGTTAGGTGCAGGGCGCTGTCACCATACAGTCACCGGGTACCCTTAGATCGTCTGCGGTATCGCTGCCCTCCTAGCGACGGGAGCTGGGCAACACGCATCTGAGCGACTCCGTTACCACAGGCTACCTTTCTCAGGGATCTTTCCAAGGCCAATCCCGTTTCCTCCTAACATGGACTGCACCTGAGGAACCTACTACCGTAAGTACGCAGGGGAGCACAAGCGATAACTTGTGCAAGAATGCGCTGCTGGTTTCCATGGTGACACCCCCTCCTCTCCGCCCCCCCCGAATTCGGGTCCGCGTGCTGCTCGAGCTCGGGCGCAAGGGTGCAGTGAGCAGCAAGGCTGAGAACAAGTATAGCGACACTCTGGCTAGGACGGACGCGGCTGTTCGCCACAGGGTCACCTTTGACCGGCAGAAGTTTGATCGAATGGGCTAGGAGCAAGGCGTCGAGCTGGATTCGCAGATTGCCTTTAAATCTCACAAACCTGCTGCCGCATCCAAGGGACGCGGCGCCGAAGCTGCGTTTATACTTCGCGGCAGCGACTGCCAACGAACAGCAGCGCTTCGAACGCTAGACACTACATAGGTGTCGATTTAGCGTTTGCCATCTTCTACCATCGTCCACCAGCGACCAACAGCATTAGGCGTCATGAAGTTGGTGAACTAGTGCCTGGCGATCGCTAGATTGATACTGACACTTTCCTAGTCGCAGTCGGATGCTCGAAACGTTGCTGGACGCTTGTAGACGCTGGCGGACGCTGCCGCAAAGTATTAACGCAGCCAAACTCAGCCTCCGTGACACGCAGCAGCGTCTGCAGCGAAAACGACTGTAAGTACTACCACCACTACCCCCTGTGAAAGTCTTCGTGAAAGATGGGATCTAACTTACGGGTCTTGGAAGGGTGCTGCACGCTCGTCCTGGTCTTGTGTACGACATTCGATAGTCGTCTTTCCAGGCAACATGGCTGTTCTAAGAATCTGAAATAGATCTTTCTCAGACCAGTAACGAATGGATTGCCAAACAGAAAATCCAATTTCCGGTACATTTTCCCTTTTCTTCTCTTTTTGGATACCAAAATTTATGGTCGCATTGCTACATCGGTCTCGCTACCATCTGCAGTTATGTACGAATAAATTTTTCACCTTTTGCATTTACAATACAGTCTTGTTGGCTGCGGATGCAGGGACGTGTCAGGGGGGGTTCGGTTTGACAGCGGGGCTAGCTTCGCCCCAAAATCAGCCCCCTGGCGCGCTCTACCATTCGCTAGCGAACAACGATAACGATCCGTACGTCAGTCCCAATGACGCACGTAGCATACTTTTTACGGCAGCGTCCACCAGCGACCAGTAACAAGTACCAGCGTTTGCGTGCACCGGCGCCAGCGTCACCACCGTCTTGATGACTAGGAAAGCATAGGTATCGATCTAGCACCGCCGGCGTCTGCCAGCGTCCGTGAGCGGAGAGTGTGACGCGAAAGGAGGCTAGCAGACAGCTGGTGTGTGGAAAAATAGGAAGGTAGCCACTACTGGTGGCAGTATGGCGCGATACAGGGTAAGCAGACGGGTGGTCCTCCTATCGCTACATATCTCCAGCACTCTGCTGCTCGTCGCTAGTGAACGCTGGTAGAAGCTGGCAGACGCCGGATCAATATCTATACTTTCCTAGTCGCTGACGCTGCCGGACGTTCGGAATGCTGGTGGACGCTATTCGTCGCTGGTGACGCTGCCGCAAAGTATGAACGCAGCAATAAGGACTCTGGTGTGCGAGGCAAACTCCGCGGCGGCTAGGGACATCCGCGCTTCAGGCCTCAATCTTGGTTATTGGAAGGGACGCAGAGGTGCAGCCGTGCAGCCCTGCTCTACTCGGTTAGGCCAAATTATGCATTAATAATGATGGAAAGGCTCACATGTCTTGGCAGAAACTGGAGGTATTTGATGTGGTTTTTTAAATTTTCTCTTCTTTGTAATACATAAGCAGAGTGAGATGATTACTGGAAATATGGTAGTACATTACGATACCTGATGCTATAGGTGAGAGCGCTAATGTAGGTTGGGAGCGGGGGTTACACGACATCTTGAACTTCGAGACATATAGCGAGCCTCGCTTTGAGCTTTTCCAAGGGGAGGGGACTCCGGGGTGGGTGAGCCACTTACCATAGTGAAAAGCTGGAATATGTGAGGTCACAATGACCACAGAATGCACTATAGACGTGAGAAGAACAGATGGTCGACGCATTCAAAGAGTGAGAAAGGGACTGAGTTCAAGTTGCCCGTAGACCGGTTGGAGGGGGCATGGGATGACGCGGGCACGCGGCGGCGTGACAGAGGTGGCATGCCTGCGCCTTTCACCGAGAGATCTCCGTGCATGCTGCTTTTCGGAAAAGCGCAGAGCGCAGGCGATAACGGACGCAGCACTGCGTGTCTCGTCCCCCCTCCCTTCTACTTTAACGCCGTGAATAACAACTGACAACTCACACAAGCAACTTTGTACTATGATGTAATTTATAAAACTGATCATTATGGACTAAAAGTAAAAATGAGGCACACTTCGTCTGATAAGTCGCAAACCACTACTATCGCTCTGATAGGCATGAGACCTCATTTACGCCTCCGACAGCCCACTTAGGTGTGGAATTCGAAGATAGGGAGGGGGAGGGGGGAAGTAGTTCAGGTCAAACTTTGGCGTCGCTCATTTCGGCAAACACACGTGCCTTCCGCATACTCTGCCCTCGCGCAAAAATGACGCTCGTCATGTCGCAGTTCAGAGAGAGACCGCCCTACTAGTCCTCTCCCACGACGAGCATCAGTGTATCGGAATCCCGCTCA